TAAATTATTATATATATATAATTTTTTTTAATTTAATTATTATGTGGTCCAATCAGTTGAACCATGCGAATCACGAGTCGCTGACTTTTTTAATTTAATATCCGATTATTGGTTAAAACTATGTTTTCCCTTTAAAATAGCTGAAAACACTGCATGCGTAGGTACAGAGAGCATGTACCTAGCCATTTATAATTTCTGAACCACACTCGATATTTCTTTGCCTATTATCTTTCATAAGAGCCAAGCATATTCTGAGCACCTTGATGCTTGGCCCGGGCGTCATGTGGCACATTTATATAATGTCTGGGAGCTGGTGGGGCCGAGGCTAGCTCTTCAATAATGTTTAAGATAAGATTTGTCCGGGGAAGTTAGGAAATCGAAGAGATCGAGATTTGACCAATCAGCTATCACCATCTTAACTCACAAGTCACTGCACAATTCTGGAATATAATTTCTCTTAACCCCGACACTTAAAACAGTTAAAAATAGCAACTCTTTGACCCAAAAAAAAAAAAATAGTAATTCAATCAACTTCTAATGCACCACACTTTTTAAAAAAATCCCATTAATATACAGTTCTAGTTTTTATAATCGCAGGAGAAAGAAAAGCAAAGAGGACAAGGGTTATCTTGTAAGTACTCATTAATATTAGAGATATATCAAAGTTTTGGTAAGCACTTGGACTCAATTTATTTAAATTTTTTTATTAAAAAACATCGTATCTTTTATATTATTTTATAAAAAAATTAATTTTTTAATCTTTTAATTTTTAATTCATTTGTAACTCAATCTCTCAACTATAACTTGCTGTGACTCAATCCCTCAATTATGATTCGCCTAGGATTCAGTCCCTCAACTTTTAAATTACTTACAAATTAATCTCTTAACTTTTGTTAATTTTTTCTCATGTTAGCTTATATCTTACATTAATGAGCAAGAGGAGGGTATTTTAAAATAATATATGAGCATTTTTTATCCCTCTTATTTGATAAGAAATTTTTTAAAAAAAAATTAAAAATAAGGATCGAGTTATAGATGAATCAAAAGTTAAGAGACTGAGTCGCAATGAGTCATAATTGAGGGATTGAGTTACAAATGAGTTAAAAGTTGAAGGATTAAAAAATTAATTTTTCCTATTTTATATATGTAGAAGAGATTAAAAATAAATTATTTAATTATTTAATTCTTAAATTAAGAAAATAAGAATCAATTCACACATACTCTTTCTATTGAAAAATATAAAACATTTTTTTGATGTAATATTTTTAAAAATATAAAATATTTTGAATCTTTTAAGGTGAAATAAATAAATTTTTTTCAAAAATATACCCTTAATTAAAGGGTAGACATGAAAATAGTACCCTCATTTTCAAATGTGAGAGAAATAATCAATTCAGTTTGAGAAATTTAATTAACTATAATAATTATATCAAAAATTAAAAAAACTAAATTACTCCAATAATTAATGAAACAAATTTGTCTCATGAACATAAACATTGACTTTATGAGGGATAATTTTAGAAAATATAATAAATATTTCTTAAAATTTATAATTTTGCTTATAATTAAAAACAAAGAGAGTAAGAGACACATGGTAGTTTCTCTTACATTTGATTATTTCCGGGGTATTTACAAAAAAAAAAAAGAACCAACTAAATAAATACACATGTGTTTGGAGAAAATATCGTACATTTTCACGTATTTGTAGACAAAAGAAGTACATTTTCCTAATAAAATTTGTGTATTTGCATGGTGTATTTATTTATATGTCAGTTCCAATCAAGGCTCCAAGGCCAGAAAATATGTAACGAAGGTGAGACACAAATACACAATGTTTTAAACAGCCCCAATAACTTCTTGTTAATTTCCCATTGTAAAGTTCCGGAAACCTTCTACTCTCAACGTATCTCGCCACATGTCAAAATTTCAAACACGGTTTCATCAATTAATTTTTCACGCAGAACTTGCTGGAAATTCTGACGTTATAAAAAAAAATCTAATTTTCTTGGAATTGAATCTCGTACAACATGTTTTATCTGGCTTATTGATGTGGGCTAAGTTACACTGACAGCTAAATCTGTACTAGGTTTTGTTCAACAATTTCATTAAATGGTCTTCCTTTATTTTATTTTATTTTTACATGACTCAGAATGTTTACTCTCGTTATTAGTGCCTTTTACAGTTTTCTTTATAGATGTGTAAATTATTTTAAACAATTTTTTATTATTTTCTTTTCAATAATTGCCATGCCTCCTTTTTTTTGTGAATGATTATTATAAATTTTATCTCTTCATCTGTACCTAAACATTTTTATTAGCATCTTTGTTATGAGCATTCACAGGACTGAATCAGACTTGGACACTCTTCTCTCATATGAAAAATGATCAGAATTCAAATTTTATATCTACATCATGTTCGGTCCTAGAAGCCCTCATATCTTAATAGGAGTCGGGAAGGGATCATACCTTTACTTACTTTAGCTATTCTTACTTATATTTTCAAATGACTAGTAATACTCAATCAACATGAACAAAGAATTATACTTCTTTATATATAATTAATCAATTGAGTTTTAATACATAAATAGATAGATATAAAAACACGAGATACCCAATACAAGAGGCTTTGTGCATATGCAAGCTATTTGATTAGAGTCTAATATAAACTCAAATTATAACAAGCAATTAACAACAACCAAACCCAAACATAAACTCAAAAAATAAACTCATGTGATTACTTAAATGGTAGCGATCCAAATTTGTATTTTTAATTTTCCAAATCAATATTAATAATTATGATGAGAAAATATCTCACAACTTGCTTGGCCATAGCAAGTATCATAGAGCAATGCAAAATTAAATAAGGTAAAAATAAACAAAAAATATAAACAAATAAACAATAGAAATAAATTAACATATATAATAAAAGAAATACATACATATATATAATATCGAGGTGAGATGAGACATCCCAAAAAGGTTACTTAAAAAAATAACTTTTGTCAGCAACTTTTAACAAGTTTACTTTTGATTGCGATAATTGGAAGTTGGCGCTAAAAGTGAACCTTTGATAGTAACATTGTGTAGCTATTAAAAGTTTTTAACAACGGCTTTTAAATGTCACAGTCAAAGGTCCCCTTACTAAAAATTACTTTTAGTGGCAATAATTTGCCATCACTAAAAATATTTTTTTAAAAATAATTAAAAAATTAAGAATAATTTATGCGATTACTTTTCACGGTAACAATTAGTCACCACCAAAAGTATTTTTATAAAAAATAAATTATGCAATACTTTTAGTGGCGACATTTTATTGTGTCCAAATATATTTTTATACAAAATAATTTATGTAATTACTTTTAACAAATTTTTATAAAAAATAATTAAAAATTAAAAATAATTTATGTAATTATTTTTAGTGATGACACTTTATTGCTGCCAAAATTATTTTTATAAAAAATAATTTATATATTAAAAATAGTTTTATAAAAAATAATTTACATAGTTACTTTTAGCTACAACATTTATTACCCCTAAAGGTATTTTATTAAAAAAAATTTAAATATAATTTAAATTATATCAAATAATTTATAAAATTATTATTAGAAAATAGTTCTTACTAATTATTTTAAAAACTTAAAATTAAATAAAATCATTCAAAAGATATTTATGAAATTAAATTTTTTATTTTATATAAAGAATGATAAATAAATTATAAATAAAATCAATAATGGTTAGTTTCAAAAATAATGATCTTATTAAGCTAGTATTTTAATAATTACATTTAAAAATTTTCTTATGTTTTAATAAAAATATTATTAATCTAGTATATATAATTAGGCTGAGTGATACAAAAATTATAAATGAATTTTTTTAATAATTTCTTATGAATTATTTCAAAAAATTTATTTTAATTATAATCAAGTTAATTTATACGTAAATACTTACTTACATACATATACAGAAATAGCATTGGAATGTTATTTATTTCAATTATAATCAAGTTAAATTATACATAAATATTGACTTACATACATATACATAAATGACATTGGAATATTAAAGTTGTATAGATGTTGTAAAATGTTAATAGCATTGCATTTGGTATACACATGGTGTCTACTCCATCTGCTGAGTTCTAATGATGTTATTAAAATAATGTGTGTGTTCATATAGATTATTTTATTATATTAATAATTGAAAATATAATATATATGTATATCATTTTAATAATATATTTTTTAATATGTGTATATAGTTAAAAATATATATATTTTTAATCTCACATATAATAATTATAAATGTATTTTAATTTAACTAGTAAAAAAAGAAAAAATTAAGGTTTGAAAGATAAAAAATTAAGAACTCAAATCTTAACTTCATTATGTTTCATAATGAATATGTAATGCTTCATAATGAAAATGTGGCTTGGCGTGTGGAGAGATGTGAGATCATTTTGGACTCTTACTCTAATTCATACTTACTCTATTAAAAAATATAAAATACTTTTAATTGAATTTCACTTATCAATAAAATAGTTGACTACTTATAAACTAACACTATTTTTTTATATTTATATTTATTAAACATTATATAATAAATATAAAATTATTATTAATAAGATTACTTAAAAAAATAACGATTATATTTTGAAAAATTTAAAAATATTTTTATATTTTTAAATATTTAATTTTTAAAAAAATATTTTATATTTTTAAATGAGAACAGTATAAAATAAAGTCGATTATGGAACAACAGAAACAAAAGGGGCCGATGATTAAGCTACAACGTATCACGCTGGGTCACATCATTCTTTGTGAAGAAAAGTATTTGAATAATAATGCTTCGGCCTTTTTCACTATCATGTTTCTAGGTCTGCCAAGCCGGGCTCTTGAATCTAGAAAATAATTCCCCAAAAACACCATAATGGAAAATTCAAATTGTGGACCACGTACGAAGGGACTGGCACGTGATAGAGAAATAGTAGTAGAGAGAGAATGCTAGAACGCGAATATTTATTTTTTATTAATATATTAGTTTCTCAACCCACTGCAAAAGCAGCAGGTTGAAAACTACAATGCATGCATAATTTTTACCACTAATAATAATATTTCCCCAAAAGGACGAAATACATGATGGACCAGAGAAAGAGTGCCTCACAACTGTCACATTACATTACATCATAAAACAAAAGCCAAAGAAATTGTGGAATAAATAATTTAGCACAACTTTTTTTTTTCTTTTTGTCTCGACAAAACGCGGAAACTTTGCTTCCATTCAAGCTTCGTCTTCTCTTCTGCCGTATTGTAAAGTGCTTCGTTCTGTCCATCGCTTTCTTTATTTACTCAGACTCTAAGGTCCTGTAATTACGTATATACACATGCATATTAAAAACTCATCAGTCCATTTCATCATCGAACATATTTGCATGGAAAACAAGACAGCCCTTGATATCGTTAGAACAAAACTCAAACAGAACTCCACAGCCATTCGCTTCGCGTAAGACACTAGGAGATCAAGATCTCTGTCATGAAATCATTCTGAGATCTTGAGCGTAAAACACAAGATCCGTTTCAAAACCCTTCTTAATTAACACACACATTCTCACACTATGATATCACATTATTAGATGTCACGTGACGAGGGAAGCAAAGTAAGCTTACCAAGTGGAGCAAGCGAGGTATGAGAGAAGGAACAACAAGAATTATCTAGTAGTGGTAAGGAGGGGGTGGGGAAGCGTAGATGTAGGGCTTGTGAACAGGAGGAGGAGGAGGAGGAGACTTGTAGTAGTAAGGCTTCTTGTAAGGCGGCGGAGGAGGAGAGTGGTAAACCGGTTTAGGATATGGATGAGGGTGAGGGTATGGGTGGGGCTTGGGCTGTGGATGCGGTTTAGGGTAAACATGGACCGGTGGAGGAGGAGAGTGGTAAATCGGTTTAGGATATGGATGAGGGTGAGGGTATGGGTGCGGCTTAGGGTGTGGATGTGGTTTAGGATAAACATGAACCGGTGGAGGAGGAGACGCGTACTTGTAAGGTGGGTGTGGGTGTGGCTTGGGGTGTGGGTATGGGTGTGGCTTGGGGTGCGGCTTAGGGTAAACGTGAACCGGTGGAGGGGGAGAGTGGTAAACCGGTTTAGGGTATGGATGAGGGTGAGGGTATGGGTGAGGCTTAGGGTGTGGGTGCGGTTTAGGATAAACATGAACCGGTGGAGGAGGAGACGCGTACTTGTAAGGTGGGTGTGGGTGTGGGTATGGCTTGGGGTGTGGGTGCGGCTTGGGGTAGACGTGAGCCGGTGGTGGCGGAGATGGGTACTTGTAAGGCTTCTTTGGGGGTGGTGGTGAGTGGTAAACTGGGTGGGGAGCGTAATGGTGAACCGGCGGAGGAGGAGGAGGATACTTGTAAGGCTTCTTTGGTGGTGGAGGAGGAGATGCATAGTGATAAGGAGCCTTGGGAGGAACATAATGAACCGGTGGTGGAGGAGAAGGATACTTGTACGGCATTTTTGGTGGTGGTGGAGAGTGGTAGACCGGATGGGGAGCATAATGGTAAACCGGTGGAGGAGGAGAAGGATATTTGTAAGGCTTCTTTGGTGGTGGCGGCGGCGACGGGTAGTGGTAAGGTGCCTTGGGAGGGTACACGTGAACCGGTGGTGGTGGAGATGGGTACTTGTATGGCTTCTTTGGTGGGTGTGGAACGTAAGGGTGAACCGGTGGCGGAGGAGAGGGATACTTGTAAGGCTTCTTCGGTGGTGGCGGAGGCGACGGGTAGTGGTAAGGTGCCTTAGGAGGATACACGTGGACCGGCGGTGGTGGAGATGGGTACTTGTATGGCTTCTTTGGTGGATGTGGAACGTAATGGTGAACCGGCGGCGGAGGAGAAGGATACTTGTAAGGCTTCTTCGGTGGTGGCGGCGGTGACGGGTAATGATAAGGCGCCTTAGGAGGATACACGTGAACCGGCGGCGGTGGAGAAGGATATTTGTAAGGCTTCTTTGTTGGCGGCGGCGGCGGCGATGGGTAGTGGTAAGGAGGAGGAGGAGGGGAAGCGTAGTGATAGGGTGCCTTAGGAGGAGTGTACACCACCGGAGGAGGCGGCGGAGAGTGGTAGACGTAAGGAGTAGGAGGCGGCGGAGAGGAATAGACGTAGTTGTTAGCACTTACGCACACAATGGCTAAGAAGAGAGTGAGAGTAGCAGAGGCCATTTTGGACCCCATTTTTGGTTCTTGCTCTTCTCTGCAACATAATACCTCCCTTTATATAGTTTCTTTCTTACCCAGCTAGCTTCCACCTAACCACTAACCTTTTGGTAAATTTTAATTAATATCCACCTTTAAGGGCTAAATAAGTAAAATATTATCTTCCGTTCCAATTTGACCCCAAGTTGGGTTTAGGAACACGAATTCGGATTTGATGGAGGCTGCGATCTGGCAAAGCAGGGAATAAAGTAAAGGGCAATGTGGACACCATTTCTTAATTCAATTTCTTTTCATAAAATGGACACCGAGGTGATTTTTCAAATATATTGGCTGTGCAAGGAATGCAGGTAATAATTGAAATTTAAATATTCAAAAGTCATCTTTGTGTTAAATTATGTTTTTATTTTGTTCAGTATCTCCTCTTTCTTACAACAGTCCTAAGTAATCAATGACGGTTTGCAATTATTTGGCCCATGCTCTTTAGGAAAAATGACGCTTAAGGCCCTTAAATTTTGAAAATGATAATTAGAAGTTCAGTGAGAAAAGAAAATTGTTGAGCTTTAGATTTTTTAAAATTATTTTTTATATAACTATCTAATATCCGGTATTACCAAGTTAAATTTAAGTATTATTAGATTCAATTAAGAGTAATTTTTTTAAAAATATTTTTTTATATAACTTGTGATAAACAACTATGTTAGAAAAATTTGTTATTGAGCATAGATATTTTGGTTTAACCATTTTTTTGTCAACCATAAAACCTTTAGTCCTTCGGTGTTACTTTTAAAATTTAACATCCCAAGTCTCACTGTTTATCTCTTCAAGAAGTGTCATTCTCACCCTACTCTATATGGCTCCCTGAAAATTAAGTCTAAAATGATAGATACGGAAACAGGCTTCCATTGTTTTTAAAAATTGTTGTTTTTCAAACCAAAAAATTACTGAATAAACGTATTTAAAATATTGAAATAAAATAACAAGAAATCTAAGCCTTCCACCTTTAATACTATTATAATACTCAAAATTACCACCCAAACTCATTGTTAGAAAATTTCTTTTAAACCAATTCTTTTATGAGTCAAAGAACTTCTTGCCGACTTCTGACCTTCAATATCATTTTAAGATCAATTTGAGTTCTTTTTAAGTGTAATTATTTGTCTTCTCAGTTTTTGAAGTGTCATTCTCCCTATTTTAGTATTCTATTTTCAATTTTTTATTGAGAAATTTAATAATTTGATCTTTATACTTTTAATTTGATTATAACTTACTCCATAACTTTAACTCATTATAATTTGATCATTTTTATAATTTTTATTTAATTATAACTTAATCTTTAAACTTTAATTTTTACAATTCAATCCTTATAGTTTTAACTATTTAAAATATTAAAATTATGTTGAAATTTAGGACTAATATTTTAAGTTATTAAATCCTTTTAATCTTTATACATGTTATAAAGATTAAAATCTTAAAATAATCTTAATCTTTATAATTTTATTTTTAAAATATAATGACTAATATTTTAAATAAATAAAATAATAAGAATTGAGTTGTAAGAGTTAAAATTCAAAATCAACTTTCAACTGAATTAAAATTATAGAAATTAAATTAAAATAAATTAAAATTAAGGGCAGAAGGATACTAGATCAAAATTATAGAATTAAATGATTAATTTGTTTTTATTATTTCTGTCTATTGTCTCTCTCTCCTATTATTAATGCATGGCATGGCATTGCCTCAATTCACGATTTCTTTTACTTTTTCTGCGTAGCTTTTTACTTCGTGAAGCAAGGCTGCATACATACCCTTTAAAGTGAAAGATATTTCATATTCCAAAAAAAAAAAAAAAGCTACAAAAACTTTTGTCCTGTAGCATACACCTGCAGAAATATTTCTACTATTTAAAAATATAAAATTTTTTAATTAAATTTTAACCTTTAATAAAATAATTATTTATTTTTAAACTAATCGTATTATTTTATATTTATTTTTATTAAGCACTCTAAATAAATATAAAATTATTATTAATAAAAATATTTTTAAAAAGATGACAATAGTTACATTTAAAAAAATTAAAAATATTTTATATTTTTAAACATCTAACTATTTAAAAAATATTTTATATTTTTTAACGAAGTGAGTAAATATTAGGAATTTATTTATTCTTATGATACATAACATTAATTAATATAATTATTTATCCAGCAATAATAGAGAAGTATACCAAACTTTGCATCTATATGAAATGGAAAATTATATTCTTGCCATAAATAAACAACTTTCGTGAGATCTGTGTTTTGACCACGATGGGCTTTTCGGAGTATTTAATCGACCAAAAACAATTATCAAGGATAACTTTTCGAAATCGTACAACCTAATTCCTAGGTGACAGTCTAGAAGGACGCGTATATTACTTTATATTTATATAATTATCAAAGTGATATTTATATTATTTTCTTTTTAATACTCGTAGAGAGAGAGAGGGAGCCATGTCTCGTTTCAGTACAGATGGAATTTGATTCAAAGCGTTTGAGTTTTGACTATTCTCGCTTTGAAATGGAACGAAGATAAATATTGTTGAGCAAAGTACAGACGGTGGCCAAAAATTGTAAGAATCTTCTGGAGGTCTACACGGCATACTCCCTCCACTAAAAACAATATATATATATATATATATATAACCAAATCCATACCGTTTTATTTAATTTTAAATCAAGTTTCTATAATTTATTTTATTTTAATTAAATTTTTATAATTTAACCAATTACATTTTTTAAATCCTAAACATGAAAATCCTTATATTTTCCTTTATATAAATAAAATTAAGAACTTTTATATTTTTATGAAATGATTATGTAACTTTAGAATTGATTACATAATTTTTATAACTCAAAATTTATATAATTAATTTGTCTTCTAAATATTTTTTATGCATGTAGAATTTTTATTAAAAAATTATAATAAAATATAAACAGTAGATTAAATTAAATTTTCTTTTTTAATTTGGGGTAAAAGTATTTAAAAATATAAAATATTTTTAAGGTGTAATTAATATATTTAAAAATTATTAATAAATAAATTTTTTATTTTTATTTTTAAGTGAAACATATGAACAAAAAATTAAGCATAAAATCTTAGTGTCAACATATATATCCTAAAGTTCTGGCCAAAAAAAAAAAAATGTATATATCCCAAACTATACAATAAAAAAACATGTATATCCGGAACTGCAGCTTCGGTGCGGAACAAAGATAAATTAGTAATGTCAACATCTAACACTTCACCTTGTGAAGTTATCAATATATAAACACATATGTACTATATACACAGAGAGGGTTAAAGATTATTTTTGGAAAAATGATAAATAAGGATTCCTAAAGACATTAATTTTAATTGAGGACCATAGAATATGAAAATATCAATTAAAGACCATTGGAATTTAAAAAAATGTAAATGGTCTTAAATGCCCTTGAGAAAAAAATCAAAATATCCGTGAGTGCAGCTATATTTCTTGCTCTATTTCAACGTCTCTTTCTTTCTTCTTTTGTTCTCCTTCATTCTCATTCTTTGTCATTCCTCGATGTGTCCATATTAGCTCTAATATTGTGAACACATCATGCTAGATCTAGGATTTGTTATGATTTATCTCTGTTAGAGCTTTGTACTCTTTCCCCTCGCTTGGCTTCACGCTTCTCAAATGGTAGTGACATTGCCACTATTAGAGAGAAGATTGATTAACAAAGCTAAAAAAAATTGTTGATGATGAGCACGCTATCGAGAGAAAGAGTACACTACAGTGAAGAAACTATTTAGAACATAAACTTGCAACCAAGAATAGAGAATGTAGAATTGGCTATTCCAACAAATGAGGAAGAGAAACTCTCCCTAAAAAATAACAATAATGTCTACATATATTGAAATCAATGTAATATAATGCTGATGTTTATTTCAAGTTTAAATATGTGCAAGTGTAAATGTTGTCATCATATAAGACTGCCGAAGTCACTAATGTAACATAGAAATACTACTAATATAACTAGTGAAAATATAGAACCTCACATGGGGATAAATTTTTCTGCAATATTTCAGACTTTGAAGTGTAAATGTTGTCATAACATAAAACTCACTTTTGAAATGTTTCAAGGCTGCTTATAAAAATACAAATATCACTTAAGAAGTCACTAACTTTAGTGAAGAATATGAATACTAACGTGACTTCTTAAATTTCACTAACCCAACTGAATTAGGATGTACTAATATCACTTGAGAATTTACCAACACAACTCAAAAAAATGGCTAATTTATATTTTGAAAACACAAAACCCCTTTTGAGAATAGGTTGTTTAAGAAAAAGTGACTTATCTAAATTGAAATCCAGTAACATCACTTGAAAATTTACTAACCCAACTTGGAGAAATGCCTAACGTATATTGTAAAAATATGAAACCTACTTGATAATAGATTGTTCATGAAAAAGTAACAGAGTATAGTTAGTAAGGAACATGGAAATTTTTGAGTTTTTCAAACTCTGATCTAGTTAGTAAGGAATATAATATAGTTAAACTCAAGATTAAGTAAACCAAAATACACGTCCATGTTAAACAATCTATTCCTAAGTAAAGTTTCATATTTTCATAATATATATTAGGCATTTTTTCAAGTCGAGTTAGTGAATTTTTAAGTGACGTTGTTGGATCCTAATTTGGATAAGTCACTTTTTCTCAAACAATTTATTTTGAGATGAGATTTCATGTTTTTACAATATATATTAGGCATTTTGCTAAGTTAGATTAGTGGAATCCCAAGTGAAGTTACTGGATCCCAATTTGCACAAGTCACTTTTTCTTAAACAATCTATTTTCAAATAGGGCTTCATGTTTTTACAATATACATTAGGAATTTTTTTAAGTTGAATTAGTGGATTTTCAAGTGATATTATTGGATTCCAATTTGGACAAGTCACTTTTTCTTAAACAATATATTCCCAAGTGAGATTTCATATTTTCACGATATACATTAGCTATTTTTTTGAGT